CCCCAAAACCCCAAAACCCCGTATTGCAGATAGAATAATCAACTAATTGTTATGAAATAAAGAATAAATTAATCATAAAAGCTTGGAAAATAATCTCTTAAAATAGTTTTGAATCACTACTTATCTAAAGATCAGGATTCAACTTTGAGGGACAACAAATTATTCAAAGCAGCATGATAGTAATTAGCTCAGATTCAGAGATACTATGATTTCAGTTTCTCCACAAACTTGTCAATTTCCTTATCAGAGATCTTCTTAAGGTCTTTCATCTACTTCGACTTCACCATTTAGCGATAATAACTATTGACTTCAGCTAGTCCATTTTCATTAGAGGCCCATGCAGGTATTCTTTTTGACTATATTCCTGGGATACTCCATACTTGATATTCTACAAAATACTGTCTATCTCCTCCTCTTCTGATTCTAGAAACACTAAAATTTTATTTTAAATAGTCTTAATTAAGTTTACCCTTTGTCCTATAATAGATAGTTAATTTAGACTTTATTTTAAGAGATAAATATTTAGACTTACTTTCTATTTGTAGTTCTCAGTATCCCCACACATTGAGTATCTTGTGTCAGTGATCTCTAAATATTCAGCTAGTATCTTTCTTTGCCTCTACTCTTGCACTTTTCCTTATTTGCCAATTGTATCTCTGATTGATTATTTAAGTTGCTCCATTTCAAATTTAAGTATGTATTCTTCATCAACTTCATCAACTCTACTCATAAGCTAATTTCTGATAGCTGCTTTTGGGCTTAACTCATTTGGAACATCAAACTAATCCTAATAATGATTTCTATTTACTTATTTTAGAACCTGCTTATTCATGGTTCTGGCTTAACTTTTTGTTTGGCTACTAGAGGCCTTTAAGCCTGTCCTAGGTGTCTATAAGCCATCTTGCATTTTAGAATTTCTCCTTCTTTTACTCTACCCTCCTTTCTTGCTGGGTATCTATTGCAATTAATGAGAGTGAATCTCAGCATTTTTATCCACATTATTCATCTTATTTAATTGAGTTTAGTTACCTAAAGATAATAATAGAGAAAAATTACCCAGAATACCTCTTGGCAATGGACTTTTAATCTATTCCTTAATTATTGTCTTTTAGTCTTAAAGGAAAATATCTTGATTTTGGGATTGTTTAAAGCTTTTAGAAAATAGCTCAAAGTTCTATGCTTACTCATGGTATAATATTGGCTATTGATATTTTGATGAATTAGTAAAATGCTGTATGCTATCTTGATGTATGGTTTGAGCTAACTATTAAAAAGAAGGGGAAGTTTATTGAAGGATAAACTCTCCCTGGTTGTTTAGCTTTCTTCTTTCTAAATTATATTAAATTCACAAATATTAATTTAATTTGGCTTTGGCTATATTCATGTTGCAATATACTTACTATTGGCTTAGATATTATCATAGTTTTAGAATTCATTTGCATACATTTTCAATTCTTATTAATCATCATGAAATTGATGTCTCTCCTTTTAATTCCTCTTTTTAGAGGTTTATGCTTGTGATATTAGAGAACTCTTGAATTGAGAAGCTATGAATTCTTGCTTAATAGATATATCAGCAACTCTTGGAATGATATCATCCATATTTCTCTGAAACTCAATTTTCTTCTTTTCTTAATCTTCTTTAATTTCTAAAAATTAATGTTTTAAAACATGAATGCTTTCGCATACATTTAAACCAATTGATGATTTTCTAGTAACTATCATTGCCACAGTAATCTATTCCCAATTTTTTCTTTAATATCTCAAGTTTGAAATTTATGGAACATTCATAGACTTATTTTGCAGCATCCCATGGAAAAACTTTCATCAGAAAATAACTAATAAAATTATTTTTAATCTGACAATATTCCAAATAATTAAATTCCAAGATATAGATTTATCTAACTAATAAATTTTAATAAGTAATTGATTGAATTGTCTATAATTTGATGTTCGGGGTTTTGGGGTTTTGGGGTTTTGGGG